ACCAGAACTGGTTATGACAATCCACTATGATTTATAACATATAGTACATATTCTTTATTTTATCTATTTATTTTTGTTACTCTTAAAATTATGATACTATTAGAATCATGATTAAGGGTGCAAATGGTTGCTATTTTAGAGGAACAAAAATCTCATGTTACTCTATACTCCTCCAAAAAATTACTATTTTTCATTATTTTTCATTTTAAAGAAATTCCTCTAGAATTGGCGTAATAAGAGGAATAAGTAAAATCCCTATGAAAATAATTCCTCCCACTAAATAGTAGAAGAATGAGTGGAACAACTTTTTCTCCCATTTTTATTTCACCCATTTTTATTCAACTTATTTCACTCATTTTTCTCAATTGCAACCATTTGCACCTTAAGTTTCATCTCACGGAAACACACCAAAAAAAAAAAGACAAAGAGAAAAAGCGAGAGTTTTGTCGCGGCTTCCTGCTCTCTGGTGAAGGCGCATCGTCACCGGATCTATGAGAGGAGTATGTAAGAAAGTGTAGATCTCTTCTTTAGGTTTGTTCTGAACTTGTCTTTGTTCTGTTCTTATGCAAAAGATTTTAGGGTTTCTTCTTCGGCGATTGGGTTCTTAGATTTGGTAGAACAGCCTTCGATTCCGGTGCAGTTGGCTGTGATGGAAGCTCGCCATGTCTGTCAGGCTTCAATAGTGGCTGGGTCGCAGTCCTGTTCCCGGATCTCTTGGGGGAAAAGCTTTAGGTTTCTTCGGGTTTTGAGTAGGCTTCGGGGGGCTCAGCCATTGGTTTGTATAACGACGGTATTCTCTTGGTGGTCTCCGTTACTGATTCTCTCTCAACCCTATCGTGGCTTTGTTTTTGCTATATCTGGCCACTCTTGTGTTCTGGTTCCTTTCAACCGATCTAGACTCTCTCGGATGGGTTTGTCTCGTGCCTGGACATGGACTGTATCTCAGTTTCTGGTTTCAGCTCGTGATGTGAGGCTCCCTTACTATGTGCTGCTGATTCGATTGGTTTGGTTTGTCGTTATCTCATTATGGTAGTGTTGTTTGTTTAACAAAGTAAACCAAAATTGATGTTCTTAAAAATGACAAAGTATAGATAAGAAATACATTTTTGCCCTACAAAATTATGAATTATAGCCGAGACACACCCATAAAAACTAAAACACAAGTACTTTATATTGCAAAAAAAAAGACATGAGCTCACAAAAACACAAGTATTTGATTCATACAACAAGATCGGACCGGTTTACTCATTTCAATTTTGCATTAATGCATGTGCAAACAAAAATTAACAAGTACTTTCAACGTATCATATTAAATGATTTTTTAGAGTGATTTTTTTTGTCTCAAATTAGATGATATTTTAAGTTTGAAAAGTAAAATTAATTATGTTTTTATTATTTTTGACTCTTTAAATTCTGCAGATTAGTTTTATATTGGTTAAATTCTATTGGAATTGGTGGTTTTATGTTGA